GGTTTAAACGTTCTACTGTTCTACTACGACAGGGCTAATGAAGACGGACATGCATTAGAAAAGACAAACGACACGAAATATTGGCATAATATGAAATAGCGGGTCTAAAAATAACCATTTCAGAATGCCAAATAAGATGGCCACGCTAAAGGTGCCCACACAGAACTATTTCTCAACAACAGCCTATCCGAAAGGTAAACTTGGATGCCGACCAAATTTGGTATGAAACTAGAATTCTTCAAAAAGTCTAACCCCTATCGCATTCACAAGCTTTTGTGGCACATAATATAAATCTGGAACCGTAAGTCGTACATTACTGAAAATCAACTAGGTTCATTCATTCTTATGCCAATGCTTAACTCCAAATTTGAAAATCAATAGGGTTATTCTCATATTCATAATGATTCACAACAAATGTGAAAAAATATATATTATTAAAAACGTTTTCGGATAAAAAGATGTGAGGTACCTTCAGAACAGTATGCCATGGAACGATGCATATTAACCTCTCATGAGGCGCGACGACTATATACGCCTACACATTGACATGTCGGCATATGGGAATAATTTTGACATTTGAAATAAGAGGCAAATGTATCAATCACCACTGCGCAATTAAACAACACAATATTGGAATAACAGAGATTACAGAGATCCTTACAATTAACAAGACGCTTCAAATTTTGAATATTGTCTTTGTTTTAGCAGATCAAGTCTACATAATTAAGGTCTTTTTTAAAAAAAAAACAGCCATTCTTTTCAAGAGACCATTTTAAACGTTTGTATATAGAATACCATCACAATCATTTTTTGATTAAAGTTTTTAGGTGTAAGCGGAGAATAATACATTTAGCAACAAAACTTCCTTGCAAATTGTGTTGGGTTATTGAAGACATATGTTTTTGCTTTTACGACTTCTGTTTTATTTTGGACTTTGATATCCAAGGACCACTATTCTGTTTTGCAAATGTTGCGGCTTGTTTGTAACAGGATGGTGGCTCTTTACCGTGCTCTTATAGGAAAAGATGTAAAATACATAACCATTTCTCCATTGATTTTATTAGTACTTCTGGAAAGCTAATTCACTGAGCGATTTAGTCCAATTTTGCATTATTTGCTTATAGTGTGATCAAGTCATCTTAATGTCAGCTGGTCAATAAATATTTTAGTTTTCATTCATCTTTTAAATTTCGGTATTTTTTTTTACCCATGAAATTGGTTCTAAATTAAAATAAAAGCAAGCAAACAAGTAAACAATAGATATACTAAAACATGTTAATAGCTAGATGAGTGCAACATGATCATGTCGCTTAACAAGAGGGACAATAGTGTCTATCGAATCATATAAAAAGGGTCGGTACCAGAATTTACCGAATTTCCCATCCATGGGATATGAAAGATCGTGCATTAGCCAGGGTTCTAAAAAGGGACCCATATCTTTACCTGCTAACAGCTCATCATTCAGTTTCTTGAAAAGAATTTCCATATTTTCATAACAAGAGGAATGATTCCTAGCCCAAGAAAAAAAACCAACAAAAAAAACGTTCCCAGTAATATAGAATCTCAAAACCAAAAACAAAGCCTTCACACAAAAATTTAATCTCTGTGTCTTTGTAACCATACAACACCTCGTGAAGCAAGGACGGCAATCTGTTTTATAGACCTAATGCGACATCCGTCTTTTATCTCTGTCCAAGATGACTGACCTTTAAAAGGTCAGACCGCTGTAGTTCTAAGGGTGACGTCACATCACAATGTTTACCAACAAAGCAAGATGGCATCGATAACGCCAAAAAAGATTACTTCTGTGGCTTGTAAACAAACACGAGCAGGTCAATCAGATTAGACGGTAAAAAATGTACGTCTGAAAGAAAAAAACGTCAAATTGATGGTCACACGTGCGTTGTTTACATCGAACGTAGTAATATGAACTGGTACGGGCAGAATTATATCGTTTTACCCATTTTACGCCTCCGCGTACTATTTTCTGTACCTATTTACGCTAATTATGGAATATTTTTTATCAAGATATACTTCAAACACCTTTATTTATTTTTCTAATACTAAAAAAAATGTTTCAGAATTTAATTTGTCGAAAGAAAAAAGTTAATATTTTGTAGTCATTAAGTCGCATCGATGTCATCCTTATCAGTGATTGTAGCGGCCAAGCGAATATTCACTGCGGATCAGTGTGCAAGGACGGGTCAAGGGATCATGGATGGGGGAGGGGGCATTGGCATCGAAACCGCGAAGCCGCGAAACTAGTGATCTGGGACAAGAACCCGGTACTAAACCGCACCCCCCCCCCCATCCCGATCCAGATAGAGTCGATTGGGGATTACACCTTTACTTGAGGTTGGGTTAACTTTATGAAATTAATACTTAATAATAGCGAAATTTTGACACTTGCATTCCTGTTTTATGTTGCATTTGCTGTGATTGTGTGCTTAATATGCACGATTTCTCAACATTAATTAACTAGTCGGTGGGACCAGGATGAAAAAGGGACGCTCTAAAAATCCATCGCTATTATATTAATACAGGTATTAGATCATGGCTAGGCTATAACACGACAGGGGAGATAACTCTTTGGATCAAACGACGTTACATAGAAGGGAAACGTCACAATAAAGTGGGCGGCTCCGCACAACTCCTGAATCTTTTAATTGCCATAGGAACATTGGCTGTGGGTTATTGCATTCACCAGATCTTTTCTCTTTTTTTCGATTAGAAACCAATCGGTAAGTTAATATAAATAAATTATGACAGGAATATCTTGAAACATAAAATCGAAATCTGACAGTTAGATTTGATGTACGCAATCTTTTGTTGCTTTTTTGGACATGGTAGATTATTACTTTAGCATTTTGTACATTGATATTTTTGTCGCTGTTTTGTTAACCAATTTTCTTAAATTGACTTGACACTAACGTCATAATCTACATCTAGAATAAAATTAAAATAAATTTCCAATATTAACATGTAAACCATATAAGAACAGATTCTTAGATTTCGATACGCTTTTCTATTTTGATCACTTTCACATGTGAGGCAGGCGCCTCAAAATAATTTAGCATTGCATAATAATAACTAAAGATCTTTCTTACTTGAGTTGATAATGGTATTTGATGACATTGTCTGTTTTTACGAAAGTGAACAAGTTGTTCTAAATCCGTGTAGGCCTATGTTTCTGCTAGAATATTTGACACATGGATTTATTTGTTGAAATCATGACGGATTAGGTGATTTCATTTTACCAGAGGAATTATACACGAACCATTAAAATTTTATGAATTATGAAACATAAAACTTACAAATTAATATTATTTCAGATAAGGCAATATGTCTATAAATGAGGAAATCTCGGGTGCTGGCGATATAGGAAGAACATCGCCATATGCTTCAAGTCCGACGGTTCCATTAAAAGAAGAACTAAAATTTAAAGTCCAAGAAGAAAATACCTTGGCAATAATGGAAGCAGACAAACCAGCAGATGTTCTCAGAGAAATTTCCGAATTATCTGAAAAGGGTATTTTTTTAATACAATTTTTGTTGTTTTTCAAAGGAATTTAACTCGTCCTCGCCAAAATATGAGATGTAAATATTTTATAAATTGTTAAATTTTTGTTTTTATTAGTGGTGCTAAATATGATATAATAATACGCGATGCATTAGTTGATTTCTGATTTTAACACATATTATGTTACACCGGTCCTTATTTTTTTGCAACAGCAGAAAATTTAGACATCTTTAGCTTTTCTACTAAACAAATTAATAGATCTGAGTAGGTAGGTTATGGGTAAGTTATTCGGCTTGTAATTAATAAGATCTGATCCCGGCGTATAAGTTACGGTTTTAAGAGAACGATTTAGGTATTTTCTGCCTTTCCCCCCTAAAACGGTTGAAGGATTTCAAAGAATTGTGCAAATGAAGTTGGTACCGCGGCACCTTCATTATATTTATAAATTCTTCAGGTATAATAATTATTATGTAAGTTGTAGACACAAAATTTCACAGGGGTGTAACATATAATTGCGGCATTTTGTGGTATATAATTATTTTTATACAATATAAGTTTTTTGTTCCGGCACTGCGTTGGACATTACTGAAATTCTTTAACAGGTTTGTTTAATTTGACAATAAAACTTGTACATTAGAGAAAGAAACGACCTGTGGCTTGCGAAGAGAACAGCTGAAGATGGAGGTTGTGTCACAGACAGGTAATGAATAACAATCGCATGTAATATCTTTATAAGAATAGTTTTTGGTAGCAACCAAAATTAAAAATGACAAGATCACTTTGATCTGGGTAAAAAATAAAAGTATTGACTAAACTATTATATTATAAGTTTGCTTTATAATTTGCTTTACGATAACTTTAGACGATAAAAATGAAACTAAAATTACTAAATAACAGATTTTGTCTAATCGTATAAATTTTATTTCATTAATAATCGAAAGGGAATCAAAGAACGTTTTACACATGCATATTTATAAATGTCATCAAAATAACTTTAATTGCTTTAAAATATATTCATGCATTTCTATAATGTTTACTTTCAGAAGAACGAGTTGCTAAATTTGTGCTAGAAGCCTGTGCTGCTCTACAAACTGGTAATTATTAATAATAAAATGTGATATTCAATCAAATAACTAATTACGTTCAAATTACAATTTATTTTAAGGAAAACGGTAAGGTTTGACATATCAAGCTATAACCAGTTAACCACAAATTCTAGTTTGTGTATTATTAATATTACAGCATATTTATAGTGCGCCCTTTCATATAACATGTTCAGGGGCACTTTAGAAAGTGACAATGTAATCATAAATAAACAACAAGATTATGGACATGTTAACAATTGTGTACAGAATCAGTTAAAAGCCTGATTAAATAAATGTGTTTTAAGTTGTTTTTTAAAAGAATATAGAGATGTACAAAGGTGTATATAAAAAGGTGTATATACCGGCGTATCACGATAGTCGTCTGTCAAACGGCTTCCTATGTCATATTAATAGGCTTGTGTTCAGAACCTGATCAATTATTTAAATACTTTCAGAAGAAATCATCCCAGTGAAGTACAGTCGCTTTGACAGATTTTTAATCGTATGTATCAAAATTGAAATATTTTACATATGAATTCATCTAAACTGCATTGTCGCGTACAGAGACTTCGGTTTAATAAATGACCTGTCTAGATGGCTTTCAGTAATAATACACAGAGATCTGATATCAATCCAAATCGGCATTTGGATAGCCAATTTTAAATTAAATCATTAAATGACCGAAAAGTTCTAATCTATTTACAATCTCGAGCATGCGATGGTATTGAGAGTTGATTATGGTGTTGTCATGTTAATAAATGGTTAATTAATAATTTATATAAAATTGCCTAAAGAGAAACCTTCAATAGGCAAATTTAGCTCTTGAATAATGCCTCTCTAAGTTCATTGGTGATTGGTAGAAAACATTTTTAATGTGATGATTCTGAATAGTGTTGATATCTGTTAATTGTGGAGTATTTGCTTCTTTTTTTATACGCCCATGTGATGATTCTGAATATTGTTAATATCTGTTAATTGTGCAGTATTTGCTTCGTTTTTCTTTATACGCCCATATTTTCATGTGGACGTATTATGCCGTCACCCCTGCCCGTCCGTGTGTCCGTGCGTCCTCTCCTTTTCTTTGCGGACGCTCTACACAACTAAATGTTATCCGATTTTGACGAAACTTATATCCCTAACGTCTCGGTTCCTTTCAATATTGGCATGTATAAGGCCATAACTTCATGGATAATGACCCCTGATTGTACGAAAAATCATGTTCTTAGCTTGTGGACCCTGTAGAGGTCACAATTCTTATCCGATTTTGCCGAAACGTTAAACGTATGTTTATAACTATAACCAAAAGATCTGGGTCCATGTTAATATTGTCCGTGCGTCCTCTCCTTTTCTTTGCGGACGCTCTACACAACTAAATGTTATCCGATTTTGACGAAACTTATATCCCAAACGTCTCGGTTTCTTTCAATATTGGCATGTTTAGGCCATAACTTTATGGATTATTGTCCCTGGTTGTACGAAAAATCACGTTTTTAGATTGTGGACCATTCAGAGTTCAATTTTTTTATTTTATTTAAAAATCAACGTTATACACCATGATTACGGTAGAGTTTGAATTTTGTGAAAATCAGACCAAAATTGCCACTCCGTTTTTTTATACGCCCACATGGAAATGTGGACTTATATTGCCGTCGCCCCCGTCGGTCCGTCGGTCCGTCCGTCCATCGTCCACAATTTCTCGTGAATGCTCTAACGCCAAAAGTTATCATCCAGTTATTAGTGAGATGAAGAATCCCATTTAATTTCAATAATTTCCGTTAATTACGTCTAGAGTTATGGCCTTTTTTTTTACTTTATTGAACCTTGTGAACGCTCTAATGTCAAAAGTTAAAATCCGATCTTTGTGAAATTTATATGCAATATTTAAATTATGGAAACGAAGAATGTAGCACCATAGGTCTTCTGTCAGACGTGGAGAGCGGGCCATTGATTCCGGTCGCCACATACCACGTGTGACCCATGCATCTTTTCTTACTACATATTTTAGTAGCCTTATGATCGTTTAGAATTTGTCTCTGGCTGTCTTTGCTTCCCCTTCACCTTGTGCATTTACTCCTTACTGTTTCCCTTAAGACGTTTGTCTTCTCAGTAGTTATAACTAAGCAACAGTTAATTTTTACGTTTTATATATCACTAGCAGGATACCCGGCTTCGCTCGGGGGTCATAACTCCGAAACCGGAAGTGGTAGACTAACGCCACCTGGCCTATGTTACTCCCCGGTCCGAGCTACCGCCTATCCCCCAAATTTCAGACTCGGGGCAGGCCTAGTGTAGCCGCCAACCCCGACTTTGCTCGGGGGTCATAACTCCGAAACCGGAAGGGGTAGACTAACGCCACCTGGCCTATGTTACTCCCCGGTCCGAGCTACCCCTATACCCCAAATTTCAGACTCGGGGTAGACCTAGTGTAGCCGCCAACCCCGAACAGACAGACTTCGCTCGGGGGTCATAACTCCGAAACCGGAAGTGGTAGACTAACGCCACCTGGCCTATATTACTCCCCGGTCCGAGCTACCCCTATACCCCAAATTTCAGACTCGGGGCAGACCTAGTGTAGCCGCCAACCCCGAACAGACCGGCTTCGGTCGGGGGTCATAACTCCAAAACCGGAAGTGGTAGACTAACGCCACCTGGCCTATATTACTCCCCGGTCCGAGCTACCCCTATACCCCAAATTTCAGACTCGGGGCAGATGTAGCAGCCAACCCCGAACAGACTGACTTCGCTCGGGGGTCATAACTCCGAAACCGGAAGTGGTAGACTAACGCCACCTGGCCTATGTTACTCCCCGGTCCGAGCTACCCATATACCCCAAATTTCAGACTCGGGGCAGACGTAGTGTAGCCGCCAACCCCGAACAGACCGGCTTCGCTCGGGGGTCATAACTCCAAAACCGGAAGTGGTAGACTAACGCCACCTGGCCTATGTTACTCCCCGGTCCGAGCTACCCCTATACCCCAAATTTCAGACTCGGGGCAGACCTAGTGTAGCCGCCAACCCCGAATAGACAGACAGACAGACAAACGACAGTCACAATAGCTGCTTACATATGGATACAAGCATAGTAAAGTCATTCTCAAACACTAGCCAGGCAGACTTGGCGAGTCTGCTGATAGAAACTGTTACACCTTTCCCCTTCTGGAATCAAGCTGTTGACTGACAATCGCCCACCAATATGATAGTTTTGTAGCTTTGGGTTTTGGACCTTCAATTATCTAATTGGTCAAATATGATGTCAAACTAAACCAAATGATGCAATAGGTAAATTTCCAGTCACATGTTTTTTGACACAATCTATCCTTGAACTTAGACCCACTTTCCTGTTATTCTCACACTATTTCATAAACAATTAATTTGTGTTTTAACTAAACGCATACCATAGCTAATATCATGGGCGTCACGCATGGGGGGGGGGGGGTCCGGGGGCGTCCGACCCCCAATTGTTTTTCGGGGGGGGGGGGGGGGGGGGGGTCTGAATATACTTTGCCCCCCCCCCAAAAAAAAAAACAAAAAAAAAATTTACATAGTAGGCCCAAACTCCTATTTATTAGGATTAGTTAAGATTCTATGTGTATAAAACCTGTACATATCCCAATATGGTTTACATTGCTAAAATAAAACACAGAGATAATCATCCTGGAAACATGTGTGAAGTAAAAAGTACCTGTGTTCCATAAAATTGTGTCTAGTTAGCCTGTCAGTAATATTTTGTTAATTTTTTTCTGCCACTTATCAGAGCGAATAGCATGTAGGTACCCAAAAACATAACCGCCTAAACCAAATATTTATCGCCCGCTCAGCCAGCAACGTAACCATAATGCTTTTGCACGCGGTGTCTTGGTAGACAGCATGACCACATGGTTTTAAAAATGGGTTAGGTTTAAGAATTTGGGGTTAGGGTTGCGGACCCCCCCCCCCAATATATATTTCACGGCTACGCCTCTGGCTAATATACTGACAATAGAGAATAATCTGTAAAGATACAAGTATTGTTTAAACCATCTTATATCTCTATTCCTTGTCTATAAATTTAAAAACAATGTCGCAACGATAAGAAGCCTATAGAATTTCAGCAATTTCCGTTTATTACGGCCCTTGTTTCACTTTATTGAACCTTGTGAACGCTCTAACGCCAAAAGTTATCACCCAATCTTTGTGAAATTTATATGTATGATTTAAATTTGTGAAACGAAGAAGCCTATTTAATTTCAATAATTTCTGTTTATTAGTACGTCTAGAGTTATGGCCCGTGTTTCTTTATTGAACCTTGTGAACGCTCTAACGCTAAAAGTTATCATCCGATCTTTCTGAAATCTATATGCATTATTTAAATTAGTGACACGAAGAAGCCTATTGAATTTCAGCAATTTCCGTTTATTACGTCTAGAGTTGTGGCCCTTGTTTCACTTTATTGAACCTTGTGAACGCTCTAACACGAAACGTTATCTGCCGATCTGTATGAAGTTTACATGCGTCATTTAAATTAGTAAAGAGAAGAATCTTTTTGAATTTCAGCAATTTCCGTTTATTACTTCTAGAGTTATGGCCCTTGTTTCACTTTGTTCAACCTTGTTAATGCTCGATTGATGAAAGTTATCATACGATATGTATGAAATTTATATGCATCATTTAAATTTCTGTCAATAATGTCTAGAGTTATGGCGATTGTGAACGTTTGAATGACAAAAGTGATCATCTGATCTGTATGAAATTTATATGCATTATTTAAATTAGTAAAATGAAAAAGCCTTTCAAATTTCAACAATTTCTGTAGATTACTTCCAGAGTTGAGACCCTTATTTCAGTTTGTAGAACCTTGTGAACCCTCAAACGGAAAAAATTATAATCTGATCTGTATGGAACTGTCTTGTAAAAGCCCCCAATAACCTACAAAGGAATAAATATGCGACAACCCTTGTCGACCGCCTGGACGATTTAGCTGCTGTGGGCGTATGTTTCGTTGCCTGGCAACCTATCTTTTAGTGTGTTGTCTGTCCATCTCTTGCAAAATGTGAGCGTATCTTACACACATACACGTATGCGATCTGTTCTACTTTTAACCGGTTGAGACAGAAGGGTTACTTTTCATTGCAGATGTTAAAAATCAAAAAGCCAGAAATAACGTATAGCAAAGTTAAAGCATTTAAAGAAAACACAGGTATTATATTATTATTGTTCAAGTCTATACATATAAGACGACTGTAAGGTTTATACTTTTACCTTGACGTCTATATGCAATAATAGCAGATCGATTTTATCAATTACAGGTGAAATGTAGGTATTGATCATCTTTTCATGGACGTATTTAATCTTTTCTTTCTAGGAGAAACAAGAAAGAGAAGAATCTTTAACAGAATCGTTGGTTTAATTGCCTGTGGCGCACACAAAGAAGAATAGCTGTTTTAACAATTTTATATTATTGCATGCATATACTATTTCAATATAAATCTGTTCTTCTAAAACCTGCCAGCTATTACAACTATAAATTTCAACTCTCGCTATTTAAATTTTATCTTCACATATTCTTGATGGAGAAATCTTTGAAACAATTTGGCCTAGAATGTTTCTAAGCGTTAAATTTGTAAGTGTGAAATATGTATTCATTTCTATCTTTTAGTAAATATAGAAATAGGTTAACTACTTCTTTTAAATTTAACTAAATAATTGTCTTTAAAACTTAATTAGATCTTTGTAGAAAATATTGTCATTCACATTAATTCATCTAACTATGAATATCAGTTTAACAGCTTTGTAGAATTTAGTAGATAAAGATTGTGCTTTTTCCAAATTTGATATATAAACATAAAAAACCCAGTCAGCTTTAAGAAAACCCATCGAATCCCGTATAATTTCAACAGATAATTTATTATATAAAATAAAGGTTCAAGTGTGAAATATTTAATCCGTCCAGAAACCAGAAAAAAGCACACGTTTTAGTCCTTATTTAATTATACGGTATGCTATATGTACAAAAAATTGCACTATTATTTTTACCACAATTAAGTTCATTTTTGGGTTGTATTATATCATAATTAATTGATAGGAAAAATTCTTGTGGGCCCTTCATCAGCACATGCACGATATCCATGCAGTTAGTTACAGATATGAATGTTTAATATATTTGTTGAAATGATACAGGATTCGGACTATAATTGGTGATTTGTAATACCTGAAATTTGTATTTGTTCCGTCAATAATACCATAATTTACTTTCTGTTTCCCACATGTGGTAATTCGAAATTTGAAATGTGTTCTTAAACGACAAATCGGATAATCTTAATGCATGTTAGAAATTGTAGTTATTTTCACCGGAAATAACGTATACTGTTTTACTCACTGTCTGATTTTATATCCATAGACAAGATTTTTGTCTAAGGATGCAGGATCTGGAAGAGAATTTAGTATAAATTATGGAAAGTGAATATAAATACAGTTGGTCATAAATATAGATAGTCAGATTATATAATTTAGGGCACACGCCATATTTTTTATTTTCAAAACATGTCAGATTGTTTAATGGGTATGTTCTTTTCATTTGATCTGTTTCATAAATTTGTAACTTCAAATTCTTGTTAAAATCTGTTTAATAGATTTTGTAAACACATCCATACTGAATGAATTATTGCCGTAATAATAAGAAGGAAAATATATGATAATCCCAAGTCCACTTCTTACCAATTAAAACTGAAAACAACGTTAATAATTGTATTATTTCACAGCAGCACAAGTTTTTACCTATAAATATTACATAGACTGATTATTAGAATCATTAAACACTGATTCAGCAATTGGATAAAATGGCTGGGATATAAATTTATTTTTAAAATACTATTTCTTCATTTACTTCTCACATGTCATTCTGTTTAGGCATTCATAAATAATTATCAGAAATTAAAACTATAATAGTTTGGGTCCATATAAAGATTAATACAAAGTATATTGTAAACAATTTCATTTTGGAGATATACATTTTTTTTTATAAAACTAAATCTGTTATTAAAAGTATAAAATTATAAAGCAGAGAGTTTAACATATAATTTATTTTAGATAAGTATATTAAATTGTAACAACTGTGATATTTATATGATATTAAGTAAAATAAATAAGAATTTAAACCTAAATTTGTCTTGCGTTTTGGGGATTTAATATTTTATCATTCTCTTGTGTTCTTGTCGGCCGCCCACAACGTCCACGAACGCTGTGTTAGTTTTCAGAGGGGAAGGATCGTGTTGATATTCAATTATTTCCAATAAGTACTTTCAGAGTTTTGTCCCCTTATATGCAGACACAGAAACTCTAATAGAAGCTAAAGTTAACATCAGTTGACGTGAAAGGTATACTCTGTAAGGACATAGAGCCAAAAAACTTATTGATTTTCATCGATATCCGATTACTACTGTCAGTGTTATTGCCCGTCATAATATACGAGTCTCAAGTTGTCATCGGGCTGCCTTGGAAATTTAATTGTCTGTGTTCATCATCAGAAGAAGAAACGTAGACGTATAAGCCAGGGGATGGGGTGGGGCAGTTGCCTCCCCAACATTCGGGCGATCCGATTTTTCGGGAAATTATAGATATTGGTGGTTTTTTTTCTTTTCTTTAGTCTTTTAGTCGGCAAAATAAAGTACCTGAATTCCGATTACATTTTATTGGTGTTGGGGCCATTTTGCTTTGTCCGATGACAGTTTTCGGGCTTCGATCATTATTTGTTACTTAAAGTCAATATATTTTTTTATTTTATTTAAAAATCAACGTTATACACCATGATTACGGTAGAGTTTGAATTTTGTGAAAATCAGACCAAAATTGCCACTCCGTTTTTTTATACGCCCACATGGAAATGTGGACTTATATTGCCGTCGCCCCCGTCGGTCCGTCGGTCCGTCCGTCCATCGTCCACAATTTCTCGTGAATGCTCTAACGCCAAAAGTTATCATCCAGTTATTAGTGAGATGAAGAATCCCATTTAATTTCAATAATTTCCGTTAATTACGTCTAGAGTTATGGCCTTTTTTTTTACTTTATTGAACCTTGTGAACGCTCTAATGTCAAAAGTTAAAATCCGATCTTTGTGAAATTTATATGCAATATTTAAATTATGGAAACGAAGAATGTAGCACCATAGGTCTTCTGTCAGACGTGGAGAGCGGGCCATTGATTCCGGTCGCCACATACTACGTGTGACCCATGCATCTTTTCTTACTACATATTTTAGTAGCCTTATGATCGTTTAGAATTTGTCTCTGGCTGTCTTTGCTTCCCCTTCACCTTGTGCATTTACTCCTTACTGTTTCCCTTAAGACGTTTGTCTTCTCAGTAGTTATAACTAAGCAACAGTTAATTTTTACGTTTTATATATCACTAGCAGGATACCCGGCTTCGCTCGGGGGTCATAACTCCGAAACCGGAAGTGGTAGACTAACGCCACCTGGCCTATGTTACTCCCCGGTCCGAGCTACCGCCTATCCCCCAAATTTCAGACTCGGGGCAGGCCTAGTGTAGCCGCCAACCCCGACTTTGCTCGGGGGTCATAACTCCGAAACCGGAAGGGGTAGACTAACGCCACCTGGCCTATGTTACTCCCCGGTCCGAGCTACCCCTATACCCCAAATTTCAGACTCGGGGTAGACCTAGTGTAGCCGCCAACCCCGAACAGACAGACTTCGCTCGGGGGTCATAACTCCGAAACCGGAAGTGGTAGACTAACGCCACCTGGCCTATATTACTCCCCGGTCCGAGCTACCCCTATACCCCAAATTTCAGACTCGGGGCAGACCTAGTGTAGCCGCCAACCCCGAACAGACCGGCTTCGGTCGGGGGTCATAACTCCAAAACCGGAAGTGGTAGACTAACGCCACCTGGCCTATATTACTCCCCGGTCCGAGCTACCCCTATACCCCAAATTTCAGACTCGGGGCAGATGTAGCAGCCAACCCCGAACAGACTGACTTCGCTCGGGGGTCATAACTCCGAAACCGGAAGTGGTAGACTAACGCCACCTGGCCTATGTTACTCCCCGGTCCGAGCTACCCATATACCCCAAATTTCAGACTCGGGGCAGACGTAGTGTAGCCGCCAACCCCGAACAGACCGGCTTCGCTCGGGGGTCATAACTCCAAAACCGGAAGTGGTAGACTAACGCCACCTGGCCTATGTTACTCCCCGGTCCGAGCTACCCCTATACCCCAAATTTCAGACTCGGGGCAGACCTAGTGTAGCCGCCAACCCCGAATAGATAGACAGACAGACAAACGACAGTCACAATAGCTGCTTACATATGGATACAAGCATAGTAAAGTCATTCTCAAACACTAGCCAGGCAGACTTGGCGAGTCTGCTGATAGAAACTGTTACACCTTTCCCCTTCTGGAATCAAGCTGTTGACTGACAATCGCCCACCAATATGATAGTTTTGTAGCTTTGGGTTTTGGACCTTCAATTATCTAATTGGTCAAATATGATGTCAAACTAAACCAAATGATGCAATAGGTAAATTTCCAGTCACATGTTTTTTGACACAATCTATCCTTGAACTTAGACCCACTTTCCTGTTATTCTCACACTATTTCATAAACAATTAATTTGTGTTTTAACTAAACGCATACCATAGCTAATATCATGGGCGTCACGCATGGGGGGGGGGGGTCCGGGGGCGTCCGACCCCCAATTGTTTTTCGGGGGGGGGGGGGGTCTGAATATACTTTGCCCCCCCCCCCAAAAAAAAAAACAAAAAAAAAATTTACATAGTAGGCCCAAACTCCTATTTATTAGGATTAGTTAAGATTCTATGTGTATAAAACCTGTACATATCCCAATATGGTTTACATTGCTAAAATAAAACACAGAGATAATCATCCTGGAAACATGTGTGAAGTAAAAAGTACCTGTGTTCCATAAAATTGTGTCTAGTTAGCCTGTCAGTAATATTTTGTTAATTTTTTTCTGCCACTTATCAGAGCGAATAGCATGTAGGTACCCAAAAACATAACCGCCTAAACCAAATATTTATCGCCCGCTCAGCCAGCAACGTAACCATAATGCTTTTGCACGCGGTGTCTTGGTAGACAGCATGACCACATGGTTTTAAAAATGGGTTAGGTTTAAGAATTTGGGGTTAGGGTTGCGGACCCCCCCCCCCCAATATATATTTCACGGCTACGCCTCTGGCTAATATACTGACAATAGAGAATAATCTGTAAAGATACAAGTATTGTTTAAACCATCTTATATCTCTATTCCTTGTCTATAAATTTAAAAACAATGTCGCAACGATAAGAAGCCTATAGAATTTCAGCAATTTCCGTTTATTACGGCCCTTGTTTCACTTTATTGAACCTTGTGAACGCTCTAACGCCAAAAGTTATCACCCAATCTTTGTGAAATTTATATGTATGATTTAAATTTGTGAAACGAAGAAGCCTATTTAATTTCAATAATTTCTGTTTATTAGTACGTCTAGAGTTATGGCCCGTGTTTCTTTATTGAACCTTGTG